TGTCTGCCATTTGCTTCTTGCTTTGTTCATGGAGTTTGCACTGTTCTTCTAGCTTCTTTAGGGTCAAGCCGTCGTTCTGGAGGAGTTTTTCTCGCAATCCTGAGTCCTTAATGCCCATGATGATGCGGTCTCTCACCATGTTGTCCATTTCTTGGTATTCGCATGATGCTGCAAGGGTTTTCAATTCTGTGATGTAAGAGTTCATGGACTGGTCCGGTTTTTGGGCACACTGCAAAAATGTATACCTTTCATAAACTATGTTTTTCTTTGGCTCACAGTATTTTTCAAATTGCTTCTTTACGTCATCCAACTTCGCCTTCTCCAGTTTTATATTCATTGTGTTGAATATTTCTACGCCGTCGTCCCCAACCAAATTCAGGAAAATAGCCACTTTCACAGCTTCTGGGGCTTCAGCTTTTTCGATTGCAAGCAGGTATAGGTCGAATTTTTGAATCCAACATGACCAACTCTTGGCCACATTTCCATTGACGAAATCCATCTGTGGTGGTACTCTGAGGTAATCCATCGTCATCCAGTTTTCTACTGCACTTTTTCCAAATTTTCCAGTTGTACACCTGACACCATGTAGCGTTGCTTGATATTCAATCAAAATCTTGTAAATTGATTGATTAATTAAAACACACTTTTTATGAGGGTGGCTTTATATTTAGGTATATGTTTATCTTACAAGTGTTGGTATTAAAGAGAGACTTAAACTGGCGTTACATTTCTATTTATGTTCAAACACCAAGAATGCCAATAATAAATAACCAAATGTCCCTAGATTAATAACTATAAAATTTCCTAACAAAAGTATTGCTAGTTGCCTATAAGTAGTAACAAATATTAATTTATTTATAATAATAAATCCTTGACAATAGCTATACTTTACATTAGTTCCAGTTAAAGTCCCCACCCTGTATACACCATATTAAAGAGAATATTTTTGTCTAGAATCTAGAAGAAAAATCATTCTATTACCTTAGTTTAGAAGTTATACGAGGTTAAAGTTGGACATTTTAGTTTCCGTATATTTTTAGTTTTTTGCTCCTAACTTGGCTCTCGACGAATGAAAAAAGTCGTCCATTTCGATTTGATATGCAGAAAAATATGCTGAATCATCTGATACTAGTCTCAATAAATTATACCTCAATACCGGGTTTTTGAACGCAAACGCTTCTCCGCCGACGGCCTATTAGTTAACGTATCCTGTGGTCCGACCTAAGAATAACCGATTTATCTGCCAAATAGCTCCTCGCGCAGTGTGTTTACTCTGATTTAGGTGAAAACACGTTATGTAGGTGTTTTTTTTTTGTTATTTACAATTTCATTTTTGTACTTAGTATTTCAAATTTCAATATTTGCTCTTTGAAAGTTCCTTGCTGATGATACCCTTCGAAACATGGCTGGGGATAGAATAGCAAAGGGAAAAAACTCAACACATTTCTGTAAAGTTTAAAAGTTTTATTTTTTGTTAGAATAAAGGATATTTTGGAAGATTTTGATTTACTTTAACCTTCCATTAGGCGCGCGAGTTTTATAACATCATCAGTCGCGCTCTATCACAGAGATACATATACCTAAATCATCGATAAAAAAATTGAACCATCTGATGAATTTCGGTTCTACAATTTCTATGTACCTATTTATTTGTGTATACCCTTGGGCAATTGATGTCCTTCGGGCCAAAGGCCCTCGGGACACAAACTTTGCCCTGGGGTATTAACACCCTCATAATTCCCTGGATACATAAATAACTATAATATAAACGCACCTTCTCTCCAAAAAAAAAACATAAACAAATGAATGTCAAACTCAAATCCACCACAAATCAGTCAAATAACAAGTGGAATGCGGCGGCACGACAAAAACAAGCAACTAGGGAAGAAATATATTCTATCTTTATCTGAAGCATACAACTTCCCATAAGTGTTTCTCACTTTTCGTTTTCTTTGGTTGGTAACACTAGCATTGCCGAAATACTGAAGTTACCAGCAACGGATTGTTAGCCTGAGGATAACTTTACTTGAAAATACTCCTCGGAGATATACTACAGATAGCAACCTCTGGTTTACTTATCCGATAGCTAGTTATTCGCCGAATAAATTATATTTATACTGAGGTGGAAAGTACCCTACTACCTAAAGGTAACTGCAATTAACAAATTAGAGGCTTTCGAGGTGTGGCTGTATCGGAGAATCCTTGAGATATCTTGGACAGCTAGACTAACAAACGAAGAAGTCCTAAGACGTGTCAACAAATAACGTGAACTGTTTGAATTGATTAAAAAGAGAATAACGGCATATCCGGAGCATATAATGCGAAGCACCAACTACCAAGTTTTGTACCTGGGGAGATCGGAGGTAAGATCGAAGGCCGGAGAGGGATCGGAAGAAAAAAAAAATGTCATGGCTTCGAAATATCAGACAGTGGACAGGACTACATGATGTGCAGTCGTTAATACACACCGCAAGGAATACAGAAACAACGGAAAATGTTATCGCAAATATCCATTAGTGGATACGCATTGGAAGAAGAAGAAGTTCCTAGACAGAGTTTCCAATAAAGTTAGTTGTGAAGAAAATGTCGCATGACACCTAATTCTGTGAAAAATTGATATTTCTGATGTTCCAATTATTTTGTTTTACCACGTAAAACCACCCTTAAACCCATTTGCAAGTCAAGTAAGGTGCCCTTAAATCTGCCCTAGGCACAGTTTCCAATTCCTTTCATTGTGAAGAAAATGTAGCAAGACTCCTAATTCTGTGAAAAAATTGATATTTCTAGTTTTTCCTTTTTTTTTTGTTTCATCCCTAAAAACCACTCTTGACCCATTTGCAAGTCAAGTTAGGCACCTCCTATTGTGCCGGCAACAGATTGAAATACATTTCGTTCTGAAGAAAATGTCGCAAGGACACGTAATTCTGTAAAAAATTGATAATTCTAGTTTTTCAATTTTTTTGTTTTACCCCCAAAAACCATAGTCCCCAGTACATCGACCCTAAAATTTTGTAACTCATGTACACGCCAAACTTCCTGAGCGGCTTTATAACACCAAGTCGGACAATATTTTTCATATCTCCACCCTGGGCGATGGGACATTGCCGCGCTAGCTCTTCGTGAAGTTGTCGTTCTGACGTCCCTAAGGAAGTTGATACATGTACGTGTAGTTTCAATGTCAATCGACTGTTTTTTATATTACATTAACGATATCACATTTGTCGGACAAAAACCATGTGGCTTTGGTGAAGTTCCGATGCCCTCAACATGTCGCTGTGGCGTCCCTGAGGAAGTTGATACATGTACGTGTGGTTTTGATGCCAATCGACTGTTTTCTATGTTACATTATTGATATCACATAGGTCGGACAAAAATCACGTGGCTCTGGGGGGGTCCGACGCCCCCAACATGTCGCTGTGGCGTCCCTAAGGAAGTTGATACATGTATGTCCGACAAAAATAATTATGAATAACAATGTAATTTTAAAACATGTGTAGTAAATGTCGGAAAAATAAAATGAGTATTAAAGTCGGTCGGACAACAAAAGTCCTATTGATCAATTTCTGCCGAAATTCAGGATCTTCACTCCTGAGATTGCACAAAAAACACGACTGAATATCCATTCTTTCTCACACGCGTGGTGTTGAATGACCGCGTTTACTAAATAATTTCCGTAAATACTCGGAGAACTATCAAAAAAACAGATCAGGGAATATGACACAGGGCCCCACAGGTATTTGACAAAGTAGGTAAATAATAAACTGACTAATATGCACGTTGCGTTAAGGCAAACTTATTTTAATTTTTTCATTGATTGTCTCAAATTTCTTGTCCGACAAATGTGATATCGTTAATGTCATGTAAAAAACTGTCGATTGGTATTAAAAACATACGTACATGTATCAACTTCCTTAGGGACGCCACAGCGACATGTTGAGAGCGTCGGAGCCCCCCGAACCCACGTGATTTGTGTCCGACATATATGATATCGGTAATGTAATACAAAAAACAGTCGATTGGCATTAAATCTACACGTACATGTATCAACTTCCTCAGGGACGCCACAGCGACATGTTGAGGGTGTCGGACCTTCCCCAAAGCCACATGGTTTTTGTCCGACAAATGTGATATCGTTAATGTAATGTAAAAAACAGTCGATTGGCATTGAAACCACACGTACATGTATCAACTTCCTTAGGGACGTCAGAACGACAACTTCACGAAGAGCTAGCGCAGCAATGTCCCATCGCCCAGGGTGGAGACATGAAAAATATTGTCCGACTTGGTGTTATGAAGCCGCTCAGGAAGTTGGGCGTGTACATGAGTTACAAAATTTTAAGGTCGATGTACTGGGGACTACCACCCTTGGGCCCATTTGCAAGTCAATTAGGGTGATTTTTAATGTGCATATGGTAACAAGGTACAGATTCCAATACATTTGTTTGTGAAGAAAATGTTACAACACATAGATCTGGGAAAAATTTATATTTCTGGTCTTTTCATTTTTTTTTTTGTTCTGCCCCCAAAAACCACCCTTGCACCCATTTGCAAGTCAAGTTAGGTGCCTTTAAATGTGCCCATGGTGCCTAGGCACAGTTTCCAAAACATTTGGTTGTGAAGAGAATGTCGCAAGACACGTAATTCTGGGAAAAATTGATGTTTCTAGTTTTTCAATTTTTGTGTTTTACCCCCAAAAACCACCCTTGGACCCATTTGTGAGTCAAGTAAGGTACCCTCAAATGTGCCCATGATGCCTAGACACAGTTTCCAATACATTTGGTTGTGAAGAAAATGTCGCAAAACACATAATTCTGTGAAAAATTGATATTTCTAGTTTTTCTATTTTTTTATTTTATACCTGAAAACCACCCTTGGACCCATTTGCAAGTCAAGTAAGGTGTCCTCAAATGTGCCCATGATGCTGTGAAAAATTGATATTTCTGATTTTTCAATTATTTTGTATTACCAACTAAAACGACCCTTGGACCCATTTGCAAGACAAACAAGGTATGCGGGGTGCATATTCATATGTACCAATTAAGATATCCACTCGACTTCTGCCGAATATTGCTTCATATGTAACGTGTGCGATAGCAGTCATTTGGATATCTAGAATGTTACGTATTATCACGCTATGCCACACGCATACTATTTTATTATTTTATTTTTAACCTCTGCGTGGATGTTTACTCCAATTGCCAAAATGGATGTAAGTCCATTGATGGAAAGTGTTAGTTTCAATTCAAGATTAATTAAACAATCCTTCTATTGGATAAATGCAAAGAATAAAGAAGAAATCGAGGTATGTTAGAGTTTAATCTATATATATAAAAATGAATGCCACTTTTCGTTGTAATTTTATAACTCAAGAACGGGTTCACCTAGCCAAACCAAATGTTTAGGCTTTGTTCGGACTATTTATTAGATGGTTTATGTGAAGTTTGCACAAAATCGGTCAAGCGGTTCTTCATTTATCACATTTTTTGTAATAAATGAATTATTCAATAAATGGAGGATCATTTTGTTAATGGGGATTTTGCTGTCAAATTGAAACTTTTTTTCAGCGTTGACGTTGTTATGTCATTGATGTGGTCATTTCATAACTTATTTTATAGACCTATCTATTTTACCAGACAAAGAGGTAATAATACGAAAACTTCATTAAATAAAAAAAGACACAGAATGCTCATTGCGCAAGACGAGGCAAAACGTACCAAATTATGTTAGACTTACGTATAGCAATCCGTCCTTCTTATTTGCACAGGATAAAAAGGAAAGGAGAAAAACCGCGTGTTGTGCAACGTATTTGTCAATGAAAATGTCAAACAACCTTTGAATGACACTTGTCAAGTTGAATATCAATTTTAGATTTATTTTTGTCAGACCACGTGCAATGAACAAGGATAAAGAGATGCCCAGCGTGCAAAACGATCACCTCACACCTGTATTAGCTAGCCAATAAAAAGACATTGCCTCGTGCTGCGCGCGCATACCAGGTAAAAATAGATAGGTCCATTTATTTATGAAAAAAAATTTACTAAGCCCGCATACGGCGCCATCTCTGCGCTAGAGATAGATTTTTTTTGTTTTCCTTACATCCTTTGAACATTCCTGTGCCTGAGTTTATTTATTTGGTGGTACACTTTACAAGAATAACGCCCAAAAGCTGCCTAAAAAAGGATGACTTCTGATCCAGAGAGTACCTAAACATTAATTTTCTTCAACCAAAGCCAAATTCACCAGCGAAAAAAACTAAATTTAATTCAGCTAATAGATACGTTAACACAACATTTAATAGGTATATTTAATAATTCAGAGGCGGTACGAAGTTCGCCGGGTCAGCTAGTTAAGTATGTTTATTTGATGACCGAAAGTCTAATTATTTTATCAACCCATTCTTTTGGCGCGTAAGTCATTAGTTGGCGGTGTGAGGTTATAAAACATGTATGAACTCCAGTGTTGACAACTTAGTGGGAATCCTGCTAAATCTAGTAGGTTTTAAAAACGCGTCTGTAGGATTTTCAGCACTTTTTACTAGTAAAATACTATCGTGTATTCTAAGTTTTCTGACTGTTTTCAACCAATGAAATGCGCTCTGACTGGTTTGTTATTTCCCTAGCAACAGACCTATTATTTTGCTGATTCTGAAATGGCGAAAATGAAAATTTATAATAAAAATTAGAAAAAATGGAACATGTTACGAAAATGATAAATTTATCGTAACAAAGTATAAAAGTCGTTAAAAGCTGAGGTGATACATCATAAAGCACTTACGAAGCATTTACCATTCATCTACAACTGAACGTCGGTCGGTGTTTTCCATGTTCCTGCTGGGTGTGAAGTAAGCAGGCGATTTCTGAAAAACGGTATATCTCTAACTATTTCACTAGAGTGTATTACACCGGCAATAAATTCGGTATTCAGCTGACAATATTGCTACCTGGACAATACCAACAACATGGTCTTCTAGCGACCATTTTTTGACATTGTCAAACTGATATTTTCAATTTGAAGTTTTTACTCATACTTTTGCATTCTATTTATTTTCAAAATCTTACGTGAAATAGTCATGACGAATACCACTCGAGAAAAAATTGTGTAGGCAACATTTTTTTCAAGGTTTTATTCAAGTTTGTTGCTTTTCGGCAATTTCGCTTATGGCATTTTTGATAAAATCAAAATCACTCGTCTGACGGCTCGTGATTTTGTCAGAAATATCATTCGCGAAATGAACATTTTGGGGTGGCTAATTTGGGGATTGAAGCTCATTGAAGCACTAACCATTTATTTATAACTGAACCTTGGTGCTTTCCTTGTTCCTGCTGGGTGTAAAGTAATCAGGCAGGCAATTTCTAAAATCCAAAATATCTCTGAAAATTTAACGGTTGCTAATTTGGAAATTGAAGCACATTGAAGCACTAACCATTTATCTGTAACTGAACGTTGGTGCTTCCCTTGTTCCTGCTGAGTGTGAAGCGTGTGAAGTAAGCAGGCGATTTCAAAAAACCGAAATATCTCCAAAAATACAGAGTAGCTAATTTGGGGATTAAAGCATATCAAAGCACTAACGAAGCGTTAAACAATTACCTACGTAAAATTTTAACTTTTGTGCTTCAAGTGTACCTGCCTACTTCACAGAGCCCCTAAATGTTCCAAATTCTAGTTTTCTTTATTCTGTTGATTACGTCTGACAATTATGTCACTTACTTGATATTGAGTAAAAATTTTGGAAAGCCTTCAATGCCAATTTACCAAAAAAGCGATCTTTGAATGGCATTGAACATCTAAAATCCATTCATAAAGTCTGTAGACTTTTTCGAGTGCGTGATCTGAGATTTTGGACGCTGACTGGCCAAAATTAAGGGGTAGAATTGGGTGACCAGCGCTCAATTTAAACGATTATCTCAAGGCCTGAAACTCTAGCGAATCAGCGTCCAAAATCTCAGATCACGCGGTCGAAAAAGTTCATAGACTTTATAAACGGACTATAGACCTTTTTTATAATTGCGAGTTGAAAAATGTGTTCAAGTGCTTCTCAAGCTAGCGATAATGATCCCGTTCGATTATCATGACTAGGTAAAAAACACCGATAATGCCAAGTACTATGACTTTCCAAAAATGCAAATCATATAAATTTCGAGATCATTGTGCATTTTTTATTTGTCTACGCAGGAACTTGGTCCAAGATGGATAAGCTAGTAGGTTTTATTTGTTTATCTGTTATTTTGGCTGTTAGTCTCAATGAAGGTAGGTAGTACTTTTATTATTATTTTATTTTATTTTTAAATACCTATTTTTTATTAAATAATTGTTACATAATTTATTTTTGTAATAACTTTGTATCTGTTGTATGACTCTACATGGTGTCCCATGGTGGATGGCGTATTAGACGTTTATGGAGAACTAAAAAGCGGATCACTTTGAAAATTTGGCAACCGGGATAAACGACCATGATCTACACTTTAAAAATATTTTTGAGCATGCGGTGTTGCCGCTTGTACTCTAAACCAGTGACAACATCGCTATTTTAGATAGAACACCCTGTATGTGATTGCATATTTGGATTCTACGTAAAATTCTGAGCAGATTTCATGTGATATATCCTATACCTAAGTTCAACTGTTTTGGAAATATTGACAGTTGAAAATTGACTCTTTGCAACTTTGACAGACTGTAAAACCTGAATGGTTAATTTTAGAGGAAAATCGATTTTACATTCCTATCTTAGATTTTCATAAACTATCATTTGACACCAACTTTGGATTTAATCCATGATTAAAAATTCCAATTAAATTTAATCTCCGTTTAAATTCAAAGTTGGTGTCAAATGATAGTTTATGAAAATCTGAGATAGGAATGTAAAAACGATTTTGCTCTAAAATTAATCGTTCAGGTTTTATAGTCTGTCAAAGTTGCAAAAACTCAATTTTCAACTTTCAATATTTCCAAAACAGTTGAACTTAGGTATAGGGTATAACACATGAAATCTGCTCAGAATTTTACGTAGAATCCAAATAAATAATCAAATACAGGGTGTTCCATCTAAAATAGCGATGTTGCCACTCGTTTAAAGTGGAAGCGGCAACACCGCATAAACAAAAATATTTTCAAAGTGTAGATTATGGTCGTTTATCCCGGTTGTCAAATTTTCAAAATGATCGGCTTTTTAGTTTTTCATAAACGTCTAATACGCCATCCACCGTGGGACACCCTGTATATATCGTTTCATTTGCCTTAATTTTTTTCTAGTAACAGCAAAACCCCAGCACCCTGTCGGAATTATAAATGGAACTACCGCAGAAGATGGAGAATTCCCATACATTGTAAGTGCCTTTAACTTTATTTTAAATAATAACACGAAAATAACTATAAAACTAGCACCATCACAAATTTAAATACAGATTTACTTAAATTAGGCTTAACTGTTCAAAAAAATATGTCACTCTAAGGGCCGATACTTTTGCTCTCGATTAACGAATTTGATACGTTGTCAAAGTTTTGCATGGGCCAAGGCCTATAGGTATGATGTGGTTAGAGCACATTCAAACCCCTGATTATTTTTAACGGCTGCCAAATGAGAGCAAAAGTACCGGCCCTAACAGTAACTTATAACCCTAATGAGGAAAAGAAAGATATAATAGTAGTATGAAGCTAAAATACGATGTGCTACCCTAATCCATATATTACCTAAATCTTGTAAATCATTCGAACTGCCTAAATATATGCACTTTTGAAATATTTTTTTCATTCGTAGGTTCAATTACACGATGATTTCAATTATTTCTATTGTGGTGGATCAATTATAGGCGACAGATGGATTTTGACGGCTGGCCATTGTGTTTGGGATAGTCAATTCGATCATGGGTAAGACTAAAGGAACTAAATCCATAATTCAATCCACAAGCTAGTGGTGTTGTTAGTTCCCTATCTAAAATAATACTAATTGAAATTACATAATTTGGTGAAACTTTAAAAAATAATTATTATTTGGTCAATATATTATAAAACAGAAGTTGCTCTCAACATTTTATCGAATCAGCTCAATTGATAACAATTATGGACGAAACGTAGATCATTTGTAAATTATTTCAAAACATAATTAATGTTTTATTCAACATTAAAGCGGAAGTATTCTCTTGGGAACCAATGTCTTAGGTGGAGGAAATGGCACCAAAATTGAAATCATAAATAAATATTGGCATCCACAATTCAACTATAGCCGGACTACTGCAGGAGATATCCCATATTTTGATGTTGGTATTATGGAGGTAAATAAAATATATTTTTTAAAATTCTAATCAGGCTTTTACTAAATTCAAATGTTCTACTTGAATGAAGATATTCACACAAACTAATTTTAGCTTGAAAAACCTATTACATTCGATTCCAAAGCCCAACCAATCAAATTGGTTGATTCTGATGATCAGATACCATTCCACAAAATTGGGAATCTATGTGGATGGGGTACAAACGACACTTATGGAGAAGATATGCCACTTTTACAAAAAGTCAGTTTGCCACTTTTGACCGATAGTGAATGCAGGAAAGGAATTGCCGACTTCGGTCGTGGGGACGTCTTCAATAGTTTCCATAATTTGTGTACTGATCAACACTACAACGGAGCATGCTACGTAAGAATCGGTTTATTAGTATATATCTACTGATTAATTTATTTATACGTTTATTTAGGGTGATTCTGGAAGTCCTTTTGTCATTGATGGAATCCAATATGGTATTGTTTCTTGGGGTTTGCCACCTTGCGGCGCCGCTCCAGGAACCTTGACTCGTATTTCTACACCTTCCTATCGTGAATTTATCAGAAATGTGACTGGCATTTGAAATTAAAATAATAAAATAAATGTAGATAAACCAATAATAAATAGTTATTTATTATACAAGACAGTAAAAAGATGCTTTACCTGTGAGTGGAAAATGTTGATTCACGAGCGACGAAGGAGCGAGTGGATGAATTCCACGAACAGGTAAAGCTTTCTTACCGTCGTGTGTAATATTCTATTTTATTCTTGAGCAACTTTTTATTTATCACAATTACTAAAATCATAAGCTAAAATGTGCTAAATTTTACATAGATTATGACAAGTTGACAAAGTACCTAACAAACTGACACATTTCTGGTGTTGTCAATCATGCAATATATCAGATTTCTGTCAAAAACACTATAATTATTATAAAAGATTTGAACGAGTGGTTAAAATTGACGGCATTCACGTATGAGTGGGTAAAATTGACGTATGAGTGGATAAAATTGACAAATGAGTGGGTAAAAATTGTTCGATTCCACTACTTCAAATAAAGTGTTACTTTAACATTGAGTTTTGAGTCGATTGAATGATAGTTTACCATTCGCGATAGAATAAAATATATTACTTTTTATTTCCTTAGCCTAAGAAACTGCATATTATTATTATTATTATTATTATTGTCACACGCCTCGCGGCTAATGCGGGTAGGATTGCTCTTCAGGAAAACACACAACTACAAAATAGTAGATTATACCACGAGTCAATAATGATAGCTATTATTCCCGAGGATTATTACGAACTGAGCCGCGTTAGCGGCGAGGGAGTAACATTCCGAGAGAATAATAGCCATTATTGCGAGTAGTATACTCTACTTTATTTACGACAAATTAATTTATTTGAGATTTTCCATGAAAAAATTTCATCCGTCTCATAATTTTCAATACAAATCCACAAGCACTACACGTTTGACACTGACACTTTTGTGGAATAATGACCATTAATCCCGCTACTCGTCATTAATCCCTGTAGGAATAACATATGTCATTATACTGCCAAAATCACAAATATAATAAGCACATTATACATTAGTCGTAAATAAAAGAGCTTAACGCATATAGTCCAGGAGGTGGCGCCAAAAACATGCAAGAGTTTTCGCAAGGCGGATATTTTCAAAATAGGTCGTACTTTAGTGCTAGAATGCTAGTGTACAGTCAGCACTCACAGTTCCGGGACAGCTGGCTCTGGGATGCGGGCAAAGTTGTAATTTTAAGAAGCATCTAAACTGTTTTCTCAAAGCTCAAAATTTATAGAAATTTTGCACATTATCTGTTTGAAGGTCACATATAACGTATGTAAATCGTCAGACGTCTAGTTCGTTGCAAAAAGGGGGTCAGACGTCCTCAAAGTTTTTATTTTATGGCATTTTCTTCAAATATATTTGTCAAATACCTGCAAAAATATATTTTGACAGGACACCGAAGAAAATGCCATAAAATAAAAACTTTGAGGACGCCTGACCCCCTTTTTGCAACGAACTAGGCGTCTGACGATTTACATACCTTATCTGTGACCTTCAAACAGATAATGTGCAAAATTTCTATAAATTTTGAGCTTTGAGAAAACAGTTTAGATGCTTCTTAAAATTACAACTTTGCCCGCGTCCCAGAGCCAGCTGTCCCGGAACTGTGAGTGCTGACTGTACACTAGCATTCTAGCACTAAAGTACGACCTATTTTGAAAATATCCGCCTTGCGAAAACTCTTGCATGTTTTTGACGCCAGCTCCCCAACTAATACTATCTGCTAGTGGCTACATCACTAAAGGGGCACTACGTAGATGCGCCACATGATTCTCACATTCGGGGCTCTACGTATGTACGTTGTTATTATCATTAAATTCGTCAGAGTCATCTTGGCCAGTAATTGACTGTTTGTCGGTCGAACATCGAGATTGTTTTTATTATTGTCAAAAGCTGTTGTAATTTGATCATTAGATCCGCGACTTGTGCTCGGAAGCAGACTGTCTAGAACGGGGTTATCGTTGTATTCTTGCATGTACTGCAGAACAGGCAGTAAATTTGAGTCAAAGTTGCTGTCGTTATTTTCAGGTGGTTTTGGCGAAGTATCAGTTACTTCATTCGCGTTTATCTTGACCAGTGGCGCACCCAGGTTTTTCATTTGGGGGGGGGGGGGGGTTTCATAATGATCAAGGTTCATCGCAGACAGGCGCTGCCGTAGGCCGGCCGCCATAAGAAGAATTTTTTTTCGGGTGTCACGCCCAAAAACGTGTATTTTAAGCCTTCGAAAAATAACTTTTTGTAGGTGATTACCATCAAAAAACAATTAAAACGAACGCTCGCAGCAAAATAGCTGCGCGAAAAAAGGTTCTTGTCACCGCCAATGTTTTCATAATCATGTGTATTTAAAAAAAAGGAAGTTTCCTACATGAGTTGAGTTCGGCTCGCTCACTCCGCGCACTCCGAGTGACTCCGTTCGCACTCCAGCCGTTCGGGTTAAGGTTCGGGTATTGCTTTTTACCGTATTAGGGGTGATTCCATTAGCTCTGTTCACTCCACTCCAACTTCGCGCTGAATAGCCGAACCCAACTATGGTTGCAAACATTCTAAATTCCGTCTTCACCAATCAAATAATGTTCACAAATCACAAACATTGCTGATCATTCGCAAATTTGCAATCGTTTTGCGCGCTTGGTGGAAATACACCTTTACCATGACCGCGAATGGCAACAAATATCCAGTAAGTTTCCCCAAAATTTTGTAGAAGGCGCGAGTGAACTGGAGTGCTTTCAATTTTGGCGGTAAATGTCAAAAGTTTTAAACCGTTTAACTGAGTAGAAGGAAAGATGACTAAATACTAAGAATGGACAGTGAATAGTGAATAAGTTAAAACGTCTTCCAAAACGTTCATTGGCCCTTAGCGAATATTTTTAAAAGTGTCAGCGTCAGCTTGTCTTAAAACCACACGTCAAACTAAACTTTTGAGACGTTTTCTCGCGTCCACTTTTTTGAAACTGGTTCAAAACTGTTTTGAAACAGTACACTTGGCCAAACAGAAAACTGGTACAGGCAATATATATTTTTTCTACAGCCGTGCGGAAAAATCAATTTTCCGCGCTGATATGCGTGTGGAAATGAGTTTTTTCGCACGGTGCGGAAAAACTTTTACCGCACGGCGGTTCGGTGTCGTTCGGTGAACGGCAGCCGCGTGCGGAAAAATTCATTTTCCGCACTTGTTAGGTAAACAGCTATTCTTAATTTGCCTAATGTGAGTCAGACTTAACAACAAAAAGTCTCTTCTGAAAAACCTAGGTCAGATAGTTTTTGTCAATGTCAAAGCTTAACAAAAGTGAACGCAACATGTTTTTATGTTATGATTGGTTTAAATTTGACACTGACTTGGTGACTTGAGTCTTTTTGTCAGTTTTGAAGTGATAAGAAAGGTCGATTTACACAATACCACATAATAAGAGAAGGCGTACTAGTTTTATGATTGGCCAAGTGTATATTCTCTCGATAAACTCATGACGTCACGTCAAAATTGGCTGAAACCGTTTTGAAATACAATCCAATCCACGTTTTCAAACCATTTTCTCGCGCCGAGAAATTATGACGTCATAGTAACATTACTTAAACCAGTTTTGAAAAATATTTTGAAACATTTGAGACGCGAGACAACGCCTTTGATGTTTAAATTACATTGGATAATTTACGCGTCAAAATTTGAAGAGCTCCAAGTACAGTAGCGCCCTTTACAACTCAACTGTCAATATTACATGCCATCGCGATGTACGATGTAAGGCCAGGTTGTCAGATTTCCATGTTCTTGGTTTCGATTCCAGATTTCAGTAATTTCGCATAACGTAAATAGGCTTTTTCTTTAAATGTAAAGTGGAAAGTTTGTAGGTACAGGGTGATCCAGTATAAAGTGAACACCCCCTACCTTTTCGCTAAAAAAATAATTTTCGAAAAAATCAAGATAGCCATTTGGCGTATTTTTTCTTTAAGAATTTGAGAACGTTTTTCGAAATTTAATTAGATTTTTTGTTGAAGCGCTGTGACCAAAAAACTATTTGCCAAAAAGCAAAATTATGCAAAAAATATTTGGATAGTTTATTCCATTTAAATTTATAGGTCGAGTGGTATACGGCTAGATTATTTCCTGAATAATTAGGATGGAATTGTTGGCGTCAATCCTATCCAAAGAGTTCTATTTATTATAAAATGTCAGAATATTTCTATCAAAATTCTGTCAAAAAAGGTAAACAAAAATTTAATCGTAGGTAATACCATAAGAGCTCAGATTTAGCCGGATATTTTTTGGCTTGGTCTCGAATACTTACTTTTAGGAAATTTAACGAGAGCTGTTCCGACAAAATCACGAGAGCGCAGCTCGAGTGATTTTGTGGAACAGATCGAGATAAATTGCATGAAAGTAAGTATAAGAGAGCAAGCAAAAAAATATCCTGCTCAAAATCTGAGCTCGAATGGTATTTAGTACGGCAATTCCACGAATGCATAATCAAAATAAAATATGGAAATACTTTTTAAAATGAACAGTTATTGAAGGTACAATTAGAATAAATATTTTCCCCTTACCATTTGACTCTACAGAAAGAGAAGAAGACTCTGTGTTCTCAGGAATTGAATTTTCTATTTCGCTATTAATTCATCTTTAATTGTCCCAAATCGCTGCGTGTTGAAAATATTTTTAATTTTATTTAAAAATACACTTTTAATAAGCTAAAATGATAGAACTTGTGAATTTTTGTGACAATTATTTGACAGATGATTCAAAAACCAATTTTATATGCAATTGTTACTACGGTAACGATTGCATCAACAGAAAATTTATCCGATTTTTTTATCCAGTTATATTTTCTCTTCCTTCCTATTTATCCGCTAGCAAACTACGATTTTTGACATTTCAAATGGGATTATTTATACATGAGTGGAATTGTCGCTGATAAACAAGGTCTTGTGAAATAATCACTTATTTAAACAAAATTCATTCAAAAAATGACGTTGTCTGATGGGTCTATTTTATAATGAATGAAATAATCACTTTAAAATTCACATGAAAATAGCCGAAAAGGTATTCTAAAACATAATAACCAGTAGTTTTTAAAGGTAAAATTATTTAGATTTACCTTGATACCTTATTTTCGGCTATTTTTATTTGAATTTTGAGTGAGAATATATCGCAAATTACTAAAATAAAGATAAACAAACTATATATATTTGAAATGAGAAAAATAGGGGCGTTTAAAAAATGGATTTAAATATAGGTTATTCCATTTAAAAAAATTACTATTTTATTCGCAGCGCTTTAACGAAAAATCTAATTGAATTTCGAAAAACTTTTTAAAATTCCTAGAGAAAAAATACACCAAATGACTATCTTGATTTTTTGAAAAAAAAATTTTTTATCGAAAAGGTAGGGGGTGTTCACTTTATACTGGATCACCCTGTACCTACCTATTAACCAAAATCGCAAAAAAATATTTTTACCGGAAAATTCTTTGTACCAGTGCTAAATTTCGGGGGGGTTTTAACCCCCAAAACCCCCCCCTTGGGTGCGCCACTGCTGTATTCTTGAAATTAAGAGAATTCCAACAAATTTGAAGGCAAGTTTTA